CCCCCCCCCCCCCCCCCCCCCCCACACACACACACACACAGAGAAAAACACCAGTTCATTGAATCCAATTTATGTTTTTATCCGTTTTTTGATTGATTGAATGTGATACTGTACATGAGATCAATAGTGGCCATTTCTTTACATTTCAGATATTGGTCCAGTGTCCAGAGTTTGACATAACATTATGATTGAAACATGTTGCCGCTTTAAGGTGCTGTTAGTGCACTAAACACAGACATTAATCCGTATTTCGGTGGAGTCAGCATCCCATGGGCAAATTGCTATAAGTTAAAGGCTTTTCCATTCCACTAAATATACAAGTGCAAATCATCAGATCATCGTTTTTGGTGTAAAAGACAGAAAAATATTTGAAGAAAAAAAGAAATAAAACCACAAGGACGCTTAATGCTAACAGATGGCATAAATGCAAAACAAAAAGGTGCTTTTTAAAATGAACCCGGTTTACTTTGGACTTTGGCGTTGTGTGAACTTGCACGAACACAGATATACAATTTCATTCAACTTAAAAAAATCAAACAATTTACTCATTCATGGGTGGTTGACAACTAAAATCGATGTATGTGTGTGTGTGGGGGGGGGGTTTGCCCTTTTTTTCAGGTTGGAGCAGCAGCCCCTTAAAATGCCTGTGTGCGTCCCTGTCGCAGCACACCTGTCTCACCCAAAATGGTTGAACCCACGGAGACTCCATTTCCAAACGAGCCGTTTCCCTCACTATGCGACGAAGTCGGACTGTTAGCATGATCGATATGGCCCTGTGTGTATACTGACTGCGAGTGGACACAACATTCATTTACACCTTCACACACCAAGGAGAAGGAAGGAAGGAAGGAAGGAAGGAAGGAAGGAAGGAAGGAGGCTCAGTGCATACGAAACTGTCTCTAGGACCCAGTGTTCCTCCTCCTCACCCTTTGTAGTGTGTGTGTGCGTGTGCGTGTGTGAGTGTGCGTGTGTGTGTGTGTGCGTGTGTGTGTGTGTGTGGAGATGAGGGAGACTGAGATGTGCTTCTTGCCTATCACGAATCACATCGAGCTTTTCACCAGCTGAGGGGGAATGCTGAACAGGGCAATTTGACGCCAGGATCAGCTCCCCACAACTGCTGCTTTTTTTCATTTATTTATTTATTTAAAAAAAGAAGCTTTTATTTCATTTCAGTCCATCTCATTAATATCATATACATTTTTTTGGGTTCATTTTTGGGACACTATGAAAGCCAGTGCGTTTCGGCTGCATTCCTGCTGCTGGCCGGGACTATGATTTATCAGTGCTCGCAGCTTTGTTCTCATGACACACTTGCACTCATTCAGTCTCATCAAAACAGCAGAGAGCGGTGATTTCTCTTTAACTTTCTTGCATCTTCGACGAATCCGGCTGCAGCAGGTACTTTCTGCACTTGAGGTGAGTCTGTTTTATTATTATTTTTTAAAATAAAAGTCCCCCCTCAGACACAAAGGAAAACGATTATTTTATTATTATTTATCATGCGGGAAAGCGTGGGAACGGATCTTGATCCCACATTTTTATTATTGGTTATTTTCTGCATTTTTTTGTATTCTTTTTTCTTGTTGTATCGTCTAAAATCGGTGACACGCGGCTTCAAATCGGTGTACCGACTTGATCCAGTATTTCTGGTAACAGTAACGTTCAGTGAGTGCAGGCGTGGGACGTGAATACTAATTGCTGCCAGTTGCTGTCTCTGCTGCCGCTTCTCCGTCTATTTATTTATTTATTTTTGCTCGCGTGTTGAAGGGAATCCCCAGAAACAAGTGATGGATGCAATGACTGTATGGGTCACATATGAATCCCGCTGGCGGTCTAAACTGAGCCTTCATTCATGACAGCGGCTGTCCTGCTGCGTGTAGGTGTCGGAGCAGCCATGTGGAGCAGAGAGAGCGCTCCTCCACTTCTCGTCTGCCTGCTGGCGCTCACAGCTCTCTGGAAAACCAGGTGAGTCTTTTTGAACGGGAGACGCCTCGAGGATCACTCGCTGCGTTTATGGAGGAGAGGAGACTGGAGGTATCCATTTATCAAGGTTTATTTTTTTATCACACCGGACTCATTATCAGCGGACACTCAATGCGCAGGAGGAGAGGCAGTTATCCTGTCCTCAGAGTGAGCATACAGATAACCCGCAGGGCATGTGGGTAATTATCTCGCCTATTGCAGGCGTAGTACAATTTATAATATAGGCCTTACGGTTATTAGGTATTACACATTCCATAGACCAGCTTGAGTTTTATTATCTGTAACAGGGTATTCGTGTTTTTAATAGCCTAGAATAATAGCTACAGCCGATATATGAACCTTGAAGATTGACCTGTGTTTTAAGGATAATGCATCTATCAATACATTGTATTGACAAATATACATCTATAAGGCCTAATTATTTTAAATTGATACATCTAAAAAAAAATTAAAAAAAAGTGTCAAACCTGCTTTGCCCCCATAATTTTTGATACACCCACTGTTTCATGAGAGGACATCTCACATTATCACACGAGGTGTAAAGGTGTCTTTTGAGAGACAATTGGGAGTGACAGTTTAGGTCACTTGAGAGCTCACACTAGATGACAGTTGACAAAAGAAAGAAACAGCTGATGTCAGAGGCACAAGAGGCAATTTAAAAAAAGAAAAAGACAAAAAAAAGGCCCACTGAATCCATAACGCTATCGTACAATGTCCCTATTGTTCTAAAACCGTGTCCATCGGCAAGTGCTTGGCTGCAGAGGCCTTACGTCACAGTCGTAAAAGCGCAGCTGTAAATAACACAAGTAATTACGTTGGGATTCTGCCTGGCTGCTCGTACTTTACAGTGTTACGGCCTACAAGGTGGCTCACCTTGCAGCCATTTTGCCACAATTAAAACTTCACAACCAGCCAGGAGGCTGGAGGTCCTTACAACATGCCATGAAAATGGCATAATTAATTCTCACCAAAAAAGCATATAAGTATCGTATATGTATGAGATGATATAGTTAGAAAAATGTCTTGTACAAAATGTTAACGTATAGCAATGTAACCTGCTTTTATTTCGTTTTTTTAGCTAACACTAGCTAAATTAAGGCTAGCTGGCTAATTTCCATGCGAGCCTTGAAGGCTAGTTAACTAGCAAGTTAACTAGCTAGTTAGCCAGCTAACGTTAGAATGCTAATGTTAACACCGATGTTTAGGGATACATGTGAAGGTTTAAATTAGCATTTGCTCACACATGCTAATGCAGGTTTGATGCTAACAGAGCTGCAAAAAAACCAGCTGGCTGTGCTGATATGGGTGTAATTTACACTGTGGCAAAGATGTCGCTATATAAGAGAACATACTGTACTAGAAAAAAATAAATTAAATCTTCCTCTCCTATTAGGTTATAACCAAAGGCTGTATATAAGAAGGGTAGAACATTGTAAGTAGGCTACATTAATCCAGCACTTTCTCTGATGGCAATTAGAGAAATGTGGTCCAAACAGAAAATATCCAGATGTGTAAAATTATCAATATTGTATGGACATTCCCTGCTTAAAGTAAAACATGCCTATAACCTGTGGCTTTTACACTAGAGCTTTCAACAGTGGTGAATACGTCAAGCTTTAATGTAGGTTCTGATCTGAATTTATTTACCATGGATCTCTAGCTCTGATTACATTTGCATATTCAGTTGTGTTTTGGCTCCAAGATCAGATGGCTCACAAACGTTCTGCCTTGAACTGGGTCATCCATGTGGATGAGGAACACTGTGTGTGTGTGTGTGTGTCTGTGTGGGCATGTATGAAGTCTCTGCCAGATAATGACGACCCCCTTTTCCCAATACATCAGGCCTCTGTGGGAAACACAGTTATGAGTCTAAATACATTTAAAATGTAAACAAACTAATTCCTGTTTAAGTGTCCCTTTGGTGGTCACATTGTTATTGTGTGTCCGTGGACCAGGTCAGTGAATGCCGATACCACATCTGATGCCTTTAACACCAACATCACCCTGTTCACACGTATCCTGGACAGCCTGCTGGATGGATATGACAACCGTCTACGGCCAGGTCTTGGTGGTAAGGAAATGATCTTATTGACGTACAGAACTTTATTATTTAATATCTGTACTTTTTACATGTGGCTATCTAACTTGTGCGCTCCCATTTAGCATGAAACAGCACTTTTTTTAAAATGCTTGATTGCTCATGTGGAGTGAGAACACTTCATTTAACATCAGATTTGTAGTACTGATGACCTTTGGCAACAATCCCCTCAAGAGTAAACTGACAAACACACTCAGTGCACAAAACATTCAGGTTATATAACACTCAATCCACTTCCTGGAAAGTAACAGCAGCCAAACTGACCGCATTTAACCCCGCAGAGGGCTGCATTCTCGCCGGAATTGTTCCGTAAAATCGGAGGCAATAAAGTGTGGGTGCAGTGTCAGTTGAGCTGCATGGTTGTAATGCTGGTTTGGCTGAAGGGACATGGTTGAATTGATGTCAAAGTGAAAACGTTGGAACTTTGGACCATGTTGATCTTTCTTACATCCATCGAAATTTTTAATATTTAATTTAATTTAATATTTTTAAAAGAGCAGTTTGAGTAAAATGTAGCAAGACAATTTTGTTATGACCAGATATGATCAGACCCAGAAATTGTAAGATTTGGATTTGGTTCTGGAGATGTTTGCACTTTCAAGTGTACAGCCTAAAAGCCTGAGACTGTCATTATTTACACAATGGTTAGTGTTAGTTTAATGGAAATCTGCTACACTCTAAATTGTATAGCAGCTTTGTGTGTGTTCATAGAGGTTATATACAATATATATATGGATATATATGGATGGATATATATATATCCATATATCTATGGACATACAGAACTTTATAATTTAATATCTGTACTTTTTACATGATGCTATCAAACTTTTGCGCTCCCATTTATTATGAAACAGCACGTGTGCCTTTTTTTGAAATGGTTGGTTGCTCATGTGGAGTGAGAACACTTGATTTAACATCAGATTTGTAGTACTGATGACCTGCTGGTTTGGCTGTAGGGACATGGTATATGTCAAATGAAAAATAGAACCATGTGGTGTCTATACAATAATGATTTTCCTGAGCTTCTGTGAGGTTTGATACATTTCAAGCTGCAGAAACATGACAGGCTTTCGGAACTCTTCACTCTCTGCAGAAGATGGCGCCTTTTGTGGTGCTGATAAGAATCATGTCCTCTCTTGTGGCCTCAGTGGGCCTCTCCATCCTCACTCTCCCATCATCCTCCATGTTTGGCATCTCATTTCCAGCTTGGCCCCGTCACCCCAAAGCTGAACTCCTCCCTCAGGATTTGGTGCCATTTGAAATTCAAATTCCTGGGGCCATCAGCCCAGTCCAGGAGCTGCCATATGGGGAGCAGACCTCCTTTGGCTTGGCAGCACTCAGCCTGTACAGCTGGACCTACAGTTATGGTGCTGCTAGCTTATTCACTGTGGAGGAGAAGACGACATGTTTGGCCTGTGACAACACTGTAGCTCACTATCTTACTTTAAGACCTTTAATGATCACATTTCAAGGAATTTTCCATCAAATAGGGTTATTACACCAAAATATATACTTAATACTCTCCTAAAAAGTATGTTTCATGCCATTTTTAATTTGGCCCTGGCCCTTTTCATAATAATTGTAGTAGATTTATGCGATTGAATCAATAAAACTGTATTGATTTACACTATATTAACTCGTGATTCTCCTCCAACAGACAGCTCTGGAGGAGTGGTCGTGTTAAAGGCAGACTTCGGGGAGGATCTGAAATATAACATATATATAAAACATTAAATGAAATGCTTTCCTACCAAGTGTCTTTCAGTACCACGATTACATCCATTTTTACCAGCTTTGGCCCCAGCGGGAGCAAACCTCCTAACACTCAAAATGTAGTAGCACGCTGTAACCCACTAATGTACCCGGGTGCTACATCGAGGAGCAGAATTCCGTCCCAGAACAGGAAAGTGACATCCGATGGAGTTTTACACATTGTAGACACATTAGATCTTTATGTCTCATCTGTGGGAAGAAAAAAGACATGTTAACACCTCGCTGAGCCGGAGTTTATAACACGCTCATCACAGCTGCATGAGTGTGTTCACTCAGACATACAGTATTCTGGGACACAGTCACTTCTCATGGTTCACGTAGTGTACCACTCAAAAAATAAAATCAACGTAGCTAATATACATATATATATATGTATATTTATATATACTGTATATGTATATATGTATATGTATATATATATATATAGAGAGAGAGAGACACTGTATGTCTCTCTGTATGAATCTTCAAAGATTCAATGATTTATTTACAGCATCACTACACATTGCCTTCATACATACAGAGCGTAATACAAAATGTATTTTGACACACAGTCATTTCACTTAGTGCCTCTCTTGTCCCACGTCTCTGGACAGAATAACAGGAACACCTGTGTAATGTCATGCAATGAATCCTCAATAAAAAAAAAAAACACAAACTGCACCCTACAAATATCTCTTCCACCTCTCAGAAACAGTTCCAGGCTAAATGAAATGCGTTGCAGGGCTGTTACCACAGATTGCATTAGATCGTTCACAAAAGGTGGAGTCTGTGTTAGATGTTCTGTTGAAGACCTGCAACATTTAAACCTATCCCAGCGAGCGCTCTGCCGTGTCTTATTGCAGCGAGCAGGAGATGTGAGTTGAAACATTTCACAGATCCTACTGATAATCAAATGATCACGATGGAGAAGATGAATCTAGGGCAGAGGTTTTCAAGATGAACCCACGTGTCAGGTTTCAGCAGAGAGAGAGAAAAAAACAAACAACTGTAATCGTTTCCACAATGAGTGAATTTCTGTGTGGGTTTAGGCTGCACGTTTCTCTAGAAAATACAATATTACCACAGCCAGTTGATGGCTAACCCGGTCTATTGCCTCCAGAAACAAAACCTGTGATCCGCCCCAATATAGAGCCTATAATGTAACTACTGTGGACACAATGTTGGCCCTAACTGGTTTAACCCAGCATTTATTTTTCATACTTGTCATCTGTTTCACGTGTTGAGGCAATACCGAGCTCTTTTAAAATGCAGCAATTGGTTTCTGTCACTTTCAGTGAAATCAAGCCCGGCTGCAGAGAGTGAATGCAGAGAGCACAGTTGCTCCCACATCATCATTAGTGTGACTGCGAGGCAGCTCACTTCTGTTCATATTCACACTTCTGCTACTAATTTGTTTTTCCACCCCCCCAACAAAAATTGTCATCTAACTATGACTTCCTGCTCAGAGCTATACATTGTGTCTCAGCTTTAAAGCAAGAGTTTTATGCCAAAATCCAACTGACGCTGTCCATTTGTCGTGAGCACACAAAATATGAAACATTGTTGTTGGTTACGGGAGGTGACAAATAGAAAGTTAACAGGAAAATACAAACTCTGAAGCGTAGAAAGTACGTTTTTCACATGTCTTTCATATAAAGCCTCCCAGACTATCTTGGTCATTTGTTTAACAGTTGAATTCAATCCTAAAAACGAACATTTAAAGCTGCACGAATCAATATTTTTACACAAACACATTGGGCTCAGCTCTCACAGCTCAACACTTTTGTACTGCAAAGAGCTGAAAGGACAGGGAATATTGACCTAACAAACTGCCAGAAACACAAGTCCAAATGAACGCTAATGTTGCTTTGCGTTGACAAACAGGCAATAGTTTGCTAACGCCTATTGTTTAAAGTGTGACATAATTGTTACGTATCTCTAATATTCACTGTGGGGCTCTGGTTTTCTGAGTTCGTGCTAACTTGTGTTGTTTGGTTGGGTTTTGTGGAACAATTATGTTGTTTGCACTACGAGTGATATTGTGATGCCCTTTGGTTGGGTTGGTTGATTCTTTAATCTATAATCTTGGTGTCAAGGGGACTATTGCTGCCCATGCAACTAGTAGAACCTCAAAATCTGCTCATCAGCGCTAAAGGCTAGCAACGCTACACAGAAACACCAAGCGCAGCACTTCACCTACAGCACAATAGATCAGGTGTTAAAGACATTTAACCTGGACTCTACTGATACCCATCCAGCCGTACAATATTGGGTTTTTGCTGATGCGCTTTATCTCTGTCCACACTGTCAAGGGTTAAGTTGGCGTTTGGATAGTTGCCCGGCGGGAGGCACTGTAACCCTAACACAGACAAGTTTTGCCTGACCAATAAAACATGGTTCAGCAGGTCTGTACAATATGATTCAGAAGATATAAAAAGCACATGTTTGTGACTGTTGCTGCTGAACTTTAGGTATTGTCCTTGTTCCTGTAAATAAGCGCCCTGACGTCCTCCGGCATTAAATGCACTCTGGATGTTTTTAAACAGTAAACAGAGATTTTCCCCGAGGGCTGTGCTTTTATAGGTTTGCTACCGTGAGGATGCAGCATTTGTACAAATATGGTTAGTTTTGCTTGGGAATTTGCTCCACTCATGCAATGCAAATGGACTGGAGCTGTCATGTGGTGGTGGATTATGGTTCTCTACAGACCTCTGTTTATTGTTTATTCTTGTGGGGTTTTTTCTTTTTGTATAGAGCGGTGATTCTTATGTCGCTGCACACAGCTGTGGCCGGAGGCATGATGCTTTCATGTTGTCCGTTTGTACCATTCTCGTGAACTTAGTATCTCAGGAAGGCATGGGAGGAATTTCTTCAAACGTCTACTCTGACACAAATGACAACAAGCCTGCATATAGGCCTGCATATACTGTATATAAGCACACTTACAAAGAACAACGACCAAGCGACAGCTACTCAGGTGAAATCCATATAATCCGTACAAAACATCATATCAAAATGTATAAATGATTATCTGGTAATATCAACAAACCCCAAACATGAACAAATGAGGATCAACAACACACAATAAACATTTCATAAGAGAAAACAGAGCTTGATAAATGTGAAAGAGGTCAGATTTCGGATGTGCAGATATGCAGAATAACTAGAAAACAACATAAATATAGAAGAATTACATCAACAACACAAAACAGTGAAGCAATGCTTTGGAACGCACAAAATATCTAAAGAAAACATAACTTCTCAAAATGACTTAGGGTAATAATTTGGTGAAAATGCACAGTAAAATAATAAATAAATGTAATAGAAAATGCCCCGGGTAGGACAAGGCAAACCACGAGACTCAGCAAATACAAAACAAATATTATTTATTCAAAAACCTTGATAACTAGACTCCTGTTGAATACTAACATAGAATTAATAGAGTATTTTGCTCCAACGCACTTGTCTGAATTCAGTCAAGCAAAAAATGTTTTCATGTAAAATAAATGATGTTTCAGAGATCGAGAGAGATGTTTCAAAAAACAATGACTGATCATGATTATGGCACTATTGGCTGTCCCTGACACCACTCCCTATACTGTCAATATATATACTAAATAGTGTGTCAAATGGCTCTCATATCTTTATATCTCATATGGACTGGTTGTGGTCTAAATGTACTTTTTTTTCTTCTATTTTCACACTACATGGTTGCAGAGATGGGCAGTATTTCTATTACTTGTATTTGAAATACGTATTTCAATTACTTTTGAGTATTTTGTAATTTGTATTTGATAGGGCCGATAAAAATCGAACGTAATTTGTAACAAAATACTTTAGAGTGGAGTAATTTTGTATTTAAAATACTCAAAATACTTTCTCCACGAATCAAAAAACTGTTCACGAGTTCAGTCCTCAGATCTTCAAGTTCAACGGATTGTCTGTCAAGGTAAATATTTTATCTGAGTGTGACAGATGTTAACTAGCTTGATGTATAATTGATGTCTGGGTCTGGCTACATAGCCTATTGTATACACATGGTGATGGTTATAATATTAAGCTAGCGATCGATGCTAACATGCTAATGATGCTAGCATGCTGTCTAGGCTAGTGCATAGCCAGTGTTTAGCAAGTTAACTTATCAGTTGAGTAGCTGGCTATATAGGAAGAGGGAGATTGGGAGCTTGTATGTTCATGATAACCTTATCAAGAGACGTCTGACCATCTAATCTTGCACTGTATTACAATTTATGCTGTATCTTCTCAATGTGAATGTCATAATGCCATATCAATTACTGGCAGATAATATAGTTCACAGTTAGCCAGGCTATGTCAGTAGATGTCCATTTGTTAAAAAAAACTAAAAAACATTAAATATCCAATTTATTTTATTTAAAAGGCATATTATGAAAGTATTCTTAGTTTTATTATTTCATACATTCTTCAGTTGGCCAGGTGGACAACATGTCACAGCAAGATGATGTTCAAGAAGGACCATCAACAAGCACAGATGTGCTTAGTTACACTGACATGTCTATGACTGTTCGTCCTTTTTGTGGGGTTCACTAGAGCTTTGTGTACATGATATATAATTATATTATATTATATAGCCCAAACCTGAATGCTCTGCTATACCAAATTGTGAGAAAAAGGAAAATCCAGAAAAAAGTATTTCCTATATTTTAAATACAAAATACATGTATTGTATTTTGTTACATTTTCTGGCACCAGTATTTTGTATTTTATTTTGATACATTTATTTGAGGGGTATTTTGTATTTTGTATCAAAATACATTTTGATGTATTTTTGCCCATCTCTGCATTGTTGCAGTCTCTAGGATAGTGACCGTAAAACTACTTCTTACGTTGCACTGTGGGATAATTTTAGTCCAATATTCAAGACACACAAGAAAATGGCCAACACACAATATAAAGGACCATAATAGTGAACACATTCAGACACAGCCACTGAGTACTCACTGTACTAAGGTACAGTACACCCCAATGATAAAACACACCACATTGTAGCAGAAGACGCAGTGCAGTACAACCGTGTTTAGTGTCAAACATGGTTTTTACAGAGATGGCGGTTTTTTTCCGTGTGGCTCCACAAAGAGCATTTCTCTTGAAATAAATCCAACTAATGGAAGCCGCTGTGAGCCATAGTAAAAACCTAATCATTTTAAATCAGCCTGATGCACATACAAAGGCCTGGTTTACATACAAAAATGCACCCCGCCGTATGTCCCGCTAAATGGATTGCACCTATTACCCGGCAACCTGCCACTTCCATTTGATTTACATTACCTTATAAATAAGAAAGCATTTTCATAATATGTCCTGTTGGACTTGAATGGCGGCTCGCCTCTCCACGCACGCGAGCACTTTGCCGAGGAGTAATGATCCCTTTAGATTGTATGTGAGACGCTGTTTGCGGTGTAGTACAGAGTGTAGAGTAAAACGTGAAAGCTTTTTGAATTGACCGAGCGTGAGAGATGGAGCTTCAGTAATTATTGAAGAGACAGAGTGTAGAGACAACGAATGGACCCGATGCGGCAGCGCTGATGCACGTAGCACATTATCCCTCGAAAAGGAAGCATACGAGAGCTTTGCTCTTCCTATCTGTTACGTCAGCGTGAACATTTAGGCCATGTTTTATAGACGCTCACAATCATAGCTTAGGCCTACATGTCGCTGTGGCTCACTAAATCTGATCTTACAAAGAGCTGCCATTGAGTTGACTCGCACAGGTCACACATAGGTGAACCGAGGCTGTACATGACTCATCTGATAGGCAAACACATGACATTGGAAAAAAAAAAAACACCAATGATTTATCAACAGCAGATTTGTCATTCGTCATGGGTCGTTAGGCGGTGTGTAACTCGAAGAAAAAAATGACATCTTTAATTACTGAACTCTTGCTGCATGTTCAGAAGATGATGGATTTACTTACATTTATGAATTCTGTCGACTTTCCTTTCTGTTTGTTATTTGAAGGCACAATGAGTCGTGTTTGTCGGTTGTGGTTTGTAAACGACATTGAAAGTCGGGCCCCTCTCCCGGCTCACCGACACTAGAGGTGCTCACCAGCGGGTCAAAGCAAACCCCAGATTCACTCCTGTTTTGGAACAATCTTTGTATTTGTCGCTATATTTCTCGCAAAATCCTAACAGCAAATGCGGTCTGATTCTTCTGCAAACACTTGTTGAGCAGCTACTTTGTCAGAAATGCAACAGAGGACTCAATGCTGTTCCTGTTCACAGTGCAGCCAAACAAAGTTCTGCTGTCTTGATACAGAATAAAGTCAATATTTGCTGTTTTACACCATGCAAACACAAATGCCTTTCCTGTGACGTCTTCACAATAAAAGCCAGAACAGTAACTTCATAAATCTCTCATGAGGTTGTAGGACAGTGAACTGCGTTGGTAGGTAGTAGTTGTGAATGGCGGACTCCGCCACTGAAGATGAAAATAACTTCACATTACAGAACATTAAATGGCAGTTGCAGAACAATAGGTAGACCATAGAAATTTTGGATTGATGTTGTGAAAATCTTAGAGATTAAAACAATTAACTCTATTGTGTTGTTAAGCCCATTATAACTCAAAGGGAGATTCCTTAATTGCCTCTGAGATTCAGATTCAGATTTCCTTGCCTGTACTAACAATCTGTGACAGGTCAGAAAAAGACATTTTGTAGAAACTATGTTAAAAGAAATCTCATATTCTCCACTTGAATGCCTTTTAACTGTCTTTGTTTTTGCAGTATTCTAACGTTGTTTTACCCCTTTGGTGTGCTGATGCCTCTCGTTGTTGTCTATTATCCAGACAGGATAACTGAGGTGAAGACAAACATCTACGTCACCAGCTTTGGACCAGTTTCAGACACAGACATGGTGAGAGCAGATATTGGACATCTATTTATCATGTTTAATTATTCACCCACATCTTTGCTGCTGAAAAAACAAGACAGCACAAGAACAACACCACTCCAGAGGACAGCCTTGTACTCCCTGTTCATACTTTTGAAGAAAAGATGCCTCTTATGCTTTATTTTTAGTACCATTACGGCTTTCCCTCCTTTTATATTTGCATCATCTGCTTCTCTCTCTCTCTCTCCACACACACACACACACACACACACACACACACACACACACACACACCGCAATACTGAAGTGGGACGAGTTGTCCACACTACGGCACGATGTCTATTCATCTGACAATTTTCATCCTATAAATTATTGAAAGTCCTCTTGTTATTCAAGTCACTCCTTTGTTTATCCTGGGCTTTCCTGTTTATCATTCTGAAACCTGCGCCCACCCTCACGTCATATCATCAGCGTCCCTTCTGTTGTTGAAGACCCATTGTCCAAGTGATTGATCCATTGATTTAGCCGTTATGATGCTGGAGTTCAATGCTGTGGCCTCTGAAAGATATGTAAACTAGGAGGCACTCAGTCCAACATAAAACAGCACTTATGCGGAACAGGTCTTGGACACAATTTCATAAATTATTAAACCATAAAAATGATCTCACAGACTAAATCCCGGATCCAGATCACCACCCACATCTGATCGACTACTTTTTTTTTTATTTCAGGGCTCCTCTAAATTTCAGCCAAATCATTCCCGATGTCTCTTTTTAAATCTTAAAATCTTAATCTTGCAAACAAACAAATGGACGCAGGTCATCACTCAGTAATGTAGCTACAGCCAGTAAAGCTTATAACCCAAGAAGTAGGCTACTAATATGTCCGAATTAAAAAGAAAAATCCATTTCCATCATCTTAATGTATATTCAGGTTTGAAAAAGTATAATATTATTCATTCCTAAATAAAATCAACATTATGGTATAACAAAAAGATTTATTGCATCCTGGCAGGGCCTGGAATATGTTCTCCTCTGACCTGATTGAGTTATGGAGAAACTGTAGAGCAATTCAGCTGATTGCTGAGGTGGTCCTGCTTTATCAGATTTATATGATTTATAGGCGGTCTACTGAAAGCCAAAGCAGGGAGATGAAAGTAGAAGAAGAAAAATAAGAAAAAGTCCCGTATTTAGCTTCAAACGAGCAACAGCCAAACAAAGAGGTCAAAGGTTTACAGTTTACAGTTAGAGGCAAAAAAAGCTTTATTGTCTTTGGCTGCAGTTTGATACAGAACAACATACTAGCTGTGGTCTGTGTAGTAACAGCACGTCTTAATGATAATTCCATTGTATTTAGAACTTTAACGGAGCAAGAATCCCAAGCAGTGAGGCGATCGGACAGGTTTTATAGGAAACAGTAAGTCTGGAGATGTTTTATGTGTCTCTCAATACTTTGCGACGTCCCTGCACTCAGCCCTGAGCCCACATGGTAATACAGAGGAAATAAATCTTTATAGACAGGTCCCAGATATAAAGTTTAATTAAAAAAATGTATAAAAAAGCTCAGTAATTTCCTAAAACAGCTGAGCACTGTAGTTTTTAGCAACAGGAGGAAATAGTGCATTTGTTGGGGGACTATTTTCATTCACAGATTAATACACATTTGACCAGTGAGTATTAATGGAAGCACAACATTGAATGTGGGATTGACTCAAAATATACAACAGTGCCAATGTTGACCATAATGAAGGAACATGTTGCGCAGTGCAGTGGTGTGGCTAGTGAATGGGACTTTGGGTCTGCCGCTCAGAATTATAAGCAACAACATGCTTTAGCCACGCAGACAATACATGGGATTGTTGTTGGTTTTGGTTTGTTGACGATAAGAAAAAATATAAAGGGGCTTCCTTAAAGGGGCCCCGTGAATTCGGTCTTTCCTGTCCCCTACAATATCACAGAATGTAGCCAAAATTGTCTGGAAGGGGAAACACAGGCAACAGTTAGATTATAGCCAAACTAAACTGTGACCAACTGTACCACACAGTATAATTGTGCATTGAGGGATTATTTGTGACATTTTAGGTGCATTCATTTTCCACTTCAAATTAAATGTTTTATATTATTAGTGCTTCAGTTGGCTTGTTTACACTTGTCTGATCACCTGACTGCTCATATTTCCTCTCCTGATCAGTTTTTTTTTAAGCAATGTTGCTGTGTTCCCACATCTCAAGTACCTTTATGAGTAAAACGTTATTACCCCTTATATTAAAAATACAAAAAAATAGACCCAAATTGTGATAAACCTTCACTGTAATGAGCTGCTGCCACGCCCTAAAAGAAAGGCTTTAGTTTTGGTTTCGGTGGACAGTTTCAGTGTCCCACAATCTAAATGTCAGAGGCCTTTCAACTGTGACAAGAAAAACACTCTGGAGGAATTTATCTCCGTCTCACGCGCGTGGATCACACCGGCACTCGCGCACTCGCTCTCACGCGTGCACACATTTCCCAGTGCAGCGCATTCTGCCCTAAACCTTTTCTTTTTGCGTGGCTTCTTTGGACAACAGAGGGATTGTAGGTCAAGGGGTTGTCTTGGCCTCGGAGTCAGCTTAGGAAAACAGCGGCTCAGAGAGCTGAGAGGAACACGGCGAGTCCGGAACTCACCTTGATGGAGCTTTGACAAATAGAGAGAGCCTTCCAGTGCACAGGTTTTAAAGTGGCAGGTGAAGTCAGTCGTGAAGCGCTGCTGCTTGTAGGCTCCGATGAAACAGGGCAGAGGAAAGTGCCCTGTGTTTTATTTAGCTTTTTTTTTCCAGCGGAAATAGGACTCATGTTCATATGGTGGAAAGCTGAAGCATAAAAATAAAGTAATAATACAGTTTGATTATTTATTCATGTATCCCCCCCCTCTGCCCACAGGAGTACACCATAGATGTTTTCTTCCGGCAAAGCTGGAAGGATGAGAGGTTGAAATTTCACGGACCAATGAATACTCTGCCCCTCAACAACCTGATGGCCAGTAAGATCTGGACTCCGGACACCTTCTTCCACAATGGGAAAAAGTCCGTGGCTCACAACATGACCATGCCTAATAAGCTGCTGAGGATCAAAGATGATGGGACTCTGCTGTACACCATGAGGTAATTCAAGTCCATGTAGCGTGTCTCAAGAGACAGTCACAAAGTTGTGTCTGTGTTTAACGCGCTGAGATGGATTTAAAAGAAATAGTGCGACATTGTAGGTAATACGCCCATTCGCTTTCTCGCCGAGAGTTAAATGAGAAGACTGACACTCATGTCTGTACGCTAAATATGGAGCTAATATGAAGCTAATATAAAGCCCATTAACTTAAAAGTCTAGCACTTAACCCCCTGTAAAAACACAACATGGCGTTTTCACTCTTTGGGATTTGTGCAGATTAAACAAAGAAGATACAACGTGCTGGTAGGCTGGTTGTGTTACCGATGGTGTGGACAGAGCCGGTCTAGCTGTTTACCCCCTATTTTTGTGCTAAGCTAAGCTAACAGGCTGCTTGCTGTAGCGTCATATTCAGCGTACAGACATGAAATTGGTAGCTTACTCTCTAACTTGGACGAGACACCTTGAATGCTAAAGCTTACACGTAAAAGTAGGCCCACAAGCGCTACACAGTCAATGTTCAAATAAATTCTTTATGCATCCTATTTCATGGAACTTCTCTCATCTTTTGGTTAGCGTGCCTTTCAAGAGAATCAATTTGAATGATAAGCCATTGGAAGTTATTTTCACAGCGCTTGAATAATGTATCGTAGCATAGTTTCTTCTCAAAGAGCTAACCTGCAACCTCACCTGCTGGTCTCTGCAGCACTGCTGAGTACAGTTAAGATGAATTATTTTTGTTTCAAGGCATCGCAGATGGGAAGCGTCTTGAATAGTGCATGAGGCTTGCGAGGCTTTCTTCTTTTTTTGAGACCGTGCCTAATCTGTGCTGTTTACTTTTCATGCATTTGCAAAGTCTCCTTAATTTTCTGTGAATTGGATGCAGGTTAACTGTGCATGCAGAGTGCCCAATGCATCTGGAGGATTTCCCCATGGACTTTCATTCCTGTCCACTCAAATTTGGCAGCTGTGAGTAACTCTGATGACGATAGCGCCCGAGGGAACTTTAAGTAAAATGCTATTTTCTTTATTTTTCCACTTATCCACAGTTCTTTGGCAAGAGTCTAAGAACTAAACCGCTGGAGTGCATGGCTCACTTTTCTGCCAGGAGTCCTGCAAATTTTAAAGAAACATGCAGCAATTAAAAAGATGTTTATAGAATAACTGACGGATAAAGGACTGATTGGAACTGTCACTGGGAAATATGGGGAAACGGACTCTGAAGTCATCCAAATATTTTATTTTGTGAATTCTAATCGGTTGTAATCACTATTTTATTGCTATGGCTTCTTTACATTTGGATGAAGAAGTTTTACTTCATGCTTTAAAAATTTGATTTAAAAACAAAGATTTATTAAGTATCAGAGCCCCAGTAGATGGTGGGTCATGTCTGAAATGCCTTGACTTCTCACATGAATTCAATGTACTGTCAATACATTCATGTGGTGGCTTATAGTATTTCACATGAAGCTCATTTATTGCAACAATACAGCAATCTGTAGCATGACATGATTGGCAGAATATTAAAAAAAAAAGTGTTTTTTTTTCTGTTTCATCAGACATTCATAAGCTAGCAGACGAGCTTTGAAATGTCCTATTCATTGTATGCTGTGACTGAAAAGGGCAAATGTCACTGTGCATGAATTGCGTGTTGGCGTTTTATGAATTCCATCGTCAGCCACTGAGAGATTTTTTTCTCTCCACAGCATTCTTCTTCTTTTTTTTCTAGAAACCCAGCTTCAAACACAATGTAGTCGGGGCTTTTCATTTGGGTCACTGAAGTAATTTCTTGAAAAATCATCAATAGCTGCGGCTGCCCCAGATTTATCCCCTATGGGTTTATCCTCTTCTTCTTTTTTTTTTTTTTTTAAGATGCGTACACAATCTCAGAAGTGACTTATGCTTGGACTCTAAATGCCTCTGACTCTGTGGTGGTGGAAGGAGAAAGCTCCCGCTTGAACCAGTACGACCTGCTTGGACAAACGGTCGGACAAGAAACTATCAAATCGAGTACAGGTAAGCTGATGTGGAGGTCCAGTTAGTAAAAGTCTAGAGTCAAATCCACCTCATCCCTCCTCCACCTCCCACTGACCTCCGTCCTCTGCAGGAAATGTTCCTCCAAATTAGAAAATGTCTCAGAAATAGCAAAGACACTGGATTTGGTATTTTCAAATACTTAAGAAAGGACAAAGCCACTCCACTGAAATAGTTTGCAAAATAGTTGCCAGCAGCAAAATGTGGATATTTAACAGCTTTTTATAGTACGCCGTTTAGCACAACACCTATGCAATCACTAACCTGAATACTGTGATGACATCTACAGCTTCAACCTGCTTCATTGTGTCTCGTCAGAAACACAAACATCTTAAATATCTCAGTTCCAAACAGCTTGAGTGGGAAAATCAAACTGTGAGGATGTTGCGCTTGTTTGGGTAGATGTTAGACTTGTCCACCTCCTACATGTTGCAGGAGGCGGCCTGTGGCTCGCTGGGAAACGCTTGTTACAGTTTTTTTGTTACTCACTTTATTTGGCTTGAAAAATGCAGAGAAACATTTGTTCGGGCTTCCTCTGCATGACAGAGATTCGACAAAACAGGGATTTGGCAGTCATGCATCTGGAATTCCCTACTTTGTTCCATATTTTGTGAATCTGCATTTAGCATGGCCTGGAGACCCAAAAAAAGGCAGCACGACAGGTGAGCTGCTGCTGCGACAAGCCTTTCCACTTTATAACCCCCCCCCCCCCCCTTTGGAGGACAAACATGAGCAGACATTCCAAAGCAGTGCAGTTTCTTTGGATGGATTTTGAATGAATAATAAAAAATGGAATAGATGACAGATGTTGATGCAGAATTAGACATGAGGGAGCGCATCTGTCTGTTGTCACTGTCAGAGTCTCTAACAGAGGAGCTCCAGGAGAAAAGAAGAGCTGCTGCTGCGTTCTTCAGTGATTTAAGTGCCTTACGTTTGTGCCTAAAGACACAGGAATGTCTCACAAAAGTGCAGCGATGCGTGAAATGACAAAGAAAATCTATGTTCTGGGCCCAGAACATAGATTTTCGGTGTGCATTGAAAACGTGCGTGGCATTGCACTCAAACAGACCAGCAGGAGACGTTAGCGAGGGAATCCATCAGTGACTCATTAGTGGACAGGATAATTAACTCTGGTTAAGTCTAGAGGTGTAAAACATGGACTTGAAGAACAATGACGGGATACAAAGCTTGTAGAGCTAGCCAAAAGGTTTTGAAAAAAGAAATAATTGACTATTAGCCGAAGCCCTTTCCCAAACATGGTGTAGGCCTACACGTTGTAGCGGTGTGCAGGGGGGGACGAGTAATGCTGCATTCACATGGAATCAGGCAGACGGGGGACGGTACACCAGATATCATTGTAGTGGGGGAGAGCAGGACGTTAAAATGAAAAGAAATTAGGTGAGGCTGACAGAAAATACCGTCCACCGTGACGGAATTTACAACCGGATGTTACGTATCTCGCTCACACAAGGAGAGCGTTGTTTAAGTTTGCAATAGAGTAATAAGAGCAAGTTGCATTTTATAGCTAAACATGTTGTATTCCATCACTATAGTAACGTATGGTCATGCCTGTCCTGACATTCCGTCTTGACTATTTGTGTATTTTTCCCGTGTCTGCCTGTGTCCCTGTGAAAGCAGCATGAAAGAGACACACGCCATTTAAAGAGTTTGCAGCGAGGCGTCTTCTTTATTTTCAAAAACACAAATGGAATGAACTGTTCGCTTCCCCCACTTAAACGTGAGCATGCACGGCTAACTAGCTTAATTTGACTACTTACCGCAGTAACCTCGTGCTTTTTAAAAAAATGTTTTCTGAAGGTTATGTACAGGTTTGTGAACCATATCTAGGTTAAGTGCGGTATGCTGCCTCTATAGAGGGCAGAATGCCTGCCAGGCATAAAAACAGTGACTAAAGGGAAGGGCTTAGCGAAGCGTCAATTCTTCCTCCTTCAAGTCTCCTTGTTACAGTCATTCTAAGACGTTGTGTTTTAATGCACTGAGAAATATAGCAGTAGCCAAATCCACTGCTCGTGTCTTGAAGTCTGTACAGAGCCAGATATTAATACAAAACACTTTCAACAAGCATATTGTTCACAAAGTGAATACAGAAAACAACAAACACAATTACATAGAATAATAGGCTATTGTGTTAGAAGAAAGAGATAATTAGGGCTAAAAATAGAAACTAACACATTTCTTAGACACTCAAGAAACGGGACCCGATCTTGAGTGTGCCTACTCGAGTCTATGGGTAGGGTGGGTCCTTCCAACTCGTGTCCTACAGAGGCTATAAAGAGTCCTCTCCAGCATTCCAAGAGCACACATTGGAACAGCCTGAGTGTGCCGGTATGCGGTAGGAAATGGATGTTGTTTTAATTCATTAATTTCCTGAATTTGATTTAGAATAATTCAGAACATTGAACATTTTTAGGAGGAATGATTTTGCATTCTTCAAAACAATATAAGCAGATTGAAAACATGTAGGCCTATTCAAAAATATTTGAGCAATTATTATGATTTACAAATAATTAAAACATACAGTTAATATTCTCTCCTCAAATCAACCTCCATTTAACAATCACTAACTCTGGTTTGGTCAAAGTAAACCCTTCATTCACCACGTTAGATGTGAAAAGAAACGGACGTCATGCTCTCCTCAAACAAAAGTATTTCCAATTCCAACACTTACCAACTTTGGTCAAATTCACAGAGTTGGATGTGAAAATATGCTGGCTGTAACCCGCTGTCTCTCTCCATCGCTGCCGGCCTCAGTGCTATTAATAGCTCGCTGAACTAGTCTGTAGCTGAACGACAGAAGATGCAACAAACTTTTAAATACGGCCTCGTAGATCGAATACCAGTGAAGATTCAGCAACTAGATCGGCAATTTCTTGCCTCTAATTTGTTCAGAAAACAGATTGCTGCTGAGGTGAAATAACTGAAAGTTTACTGGCATATTTCCCTTTTCCAAATCAGGGAACAGGAAACGCATGGTGCGCATACGATTGTTGGTGTTTTCAGAAACGCGGAGGATGCACACGTGTGTCCTTGAAAATCCTCAGTAGAATCAAAGGATCCTCGACATCCTTTGGACAATCCTTTGGCGAGATTCGATGAGGTATCATTCTTGAAATTCATTTGAAGGATCGTTCCTTGACTTTGAGAAACACCCTGTGTGTGTGTGTGTGTGTGTGTGTGTGTGTGTGTGTGTGTGTGTGTCTGTGTGTGTCTGTGTGCGAAGAGGGGAGGGACACCAAACTGGATATAAGTTGTGATAAATAAATGCGCATTGAGTCTGGATGTGAGTCTGTGAAGACAAAGTTGGCAGCTGTTTTCCTTTACGTGCTGAGAGTGACAAGGCATCTGATCCCCAGTGGATGGAGACTATATGATGGCACTAAGCAAATCACAGATGAACTGTGTCATTGTAAGCAGGAAATAACAGTTTGTAATGAACACATGCATTCACAGGGTGAATAAGGGAGAATAAGGACCCAGGATATGTGTTACTTAAACTTGTCTACCTTGTAGAGCTCATTTCTCATGTTTTAAGCTCAATTCTGCCATTAACTATCATGTCACATAGCAAATAGAATTGGAAAATACAGATTGACTCTGCAACATGGCTCTCCTCTCAGTAAAGCTCCCTGCTGTGGCAAGGCATGGTAGCAGAATGTGCACAGTGATAAATAACACGCAGGGACCATTGCAAATAATCCCCCGATGGTTATTAGCTTGGAAATAAACGCCCTCCAGGGTGCACACAAACAGAGCAGAACCAAAGCAGGTGGATGCTGCGTGGTGTGGAGCAGCAGCAGCGAGCACACGTCAGATGGTATCTGAGATACAGTTCTTGCAGGACAGTGATAGCAGTTTAATAATAATGGTGAGAAACGTGTAGGCGTGCTTTAATTACCCAGAGACCATATTTTGCATATTTTAGTCTACTTTGCCTAAGATCACCGCAAACCATCTTTCAAATGTTACTTTGTGAAATGTATCTTTGAATACAGACAGTTTTGTCAGTTTGTGTGTGAAAATCAGCTTGCATAACCCTAAATGAATGTATCATGTGTAGTAAATGGGCTACGACACGCAAAACCACAGGTATTGGAGGGAGTCTGTTCTGTGGTGGAAATGCGAACAATGAATATCATGAGGGAGAACGTAAAGACTGAGCAACATTTGACGATCTTGAAAGAGTTTGAGAAGTTTGTTGCTGGTGGAGGATGCTGACCTCGGCCTTATTGCCTCCAGACTTTAGCTGCAAAGTCAAGGGAGGAGCTTCAGTTGTCATTCTTGGAACTTTGTTGACGCTGAAGTTGCTACAGGAGGTATTTCAGGGTTGGTGAAAGCGTAGAAAAGGTGTCAAATCTCGACCTGCTGTCTTGATTATCGAGCAACTAAAGAAGTTTACCATATTTTACCTTCGCGTGCAGAAAATGCTTCCACCCCAGAAACACAGACTTTTTCCCCGTGCCATCTGCTCCGCCACGACTCCCTATAGGTTTCAATCTCCAGTATAGAGCGTTTCCCCAGTGACTGCGTTCCACTATCAGGGGAATCCCTGCTTCACTTTCATTGAGTAAGAGTATCCTTCCATGCTCTAAATGCTCCTATCTAGGCTAAGTGGTGTACGCTGCCTTTCGGTAGAAGGCAGAATGCCTGCCAGTGACTCTTTCTCCTGTTTAACTAGTCACTCCACATTATCTGATTGGCTGCCTTTAAATTAATTATTCATCACTAGTGTGTCAGTGTTTGGTGTAGCGTACTTGCAAACTAGGTCATTTGGCACGAACGAATGTGCTCTCGGGCTTTGCAGGCGACGGACATCTTGCATAAGCCCCCCGAACATACCGACGCACTTTTGCAAAAGTCCCACCAGTCAGCCATACGTTTATGTGCCACACACGTCGTCGTGTTGAACTCGCTACTTTAAAAAGCACTCACTGTTCCAGTTTCCATGAAGCTTGCATGTGTTGTTTGCTGTTGGTGGTAACATTGTACTCGATATTATATGATATTTATAATATATAATGTATGAAATTCCAGCAGCTTTGATATTAACGGGGCAATGTGTAAGATCTGGCCTGAATTTTAGTTTAAAAAACATGATCAACAGAATGTGAAGAGGTGCGTGTTGTGTTGCAGAGATACCTGCTGTAATGAGCTTCCCCGGCCCAGAAAGCTAAAATAAGCCCATCCTGACTTGTAATACCACTTGTTCCCTGACAGGCGATAGTGAGTCACTGTAGTTTTCTCGTTAAACCAATAAACAAACTAATCAAAGTGTTATTTTGATCAGCTCTCAGATCTTCAGCAGTTTGGTTGAGTTTTGCGTATTCTTGCCCTGCAGTCAGTTGGTATTTGTTTGTTTTTTATGATTGATGACTGTAAATTTGGTTGTTTGAACCCAATAGTAGAGGTGTACACATTGCACCGTTAATAAAGTGTTCATATACCAAAGTAGTGTATATCTGATTTGTAAAATCTACAATAACAATAACAATCTTTTAAGGTATGACGGGCAAACGGTTGCCTTTTTCACACAACTAGCAGATGTGGAGCAGCATTAGCACTCGTTTTGTGATGCGTTTCTGTCTCCCTGGCAAAATATCTGACTCTTTAGCAGCTAAATGCTTCATTTTGTTCACCAGCTAATCGCTAACTTTCTCTGCTTGTAAGTTGGTGCTGTGCTGATGAAAACCAGAGAGGGTGAACCAAAACAGTTAAAGCTGCAGTAGGAAAACCAATTTGACCTCCTGCAAATACAAGTGGCAATGTGATCCACTGTTAATGTAAAACAAAATGAAGTTCTACCTTACCCAATAAGCCAGCCTGCATTAATCAGAATGTTGATATTAACATTGACTCAAAGGACTATAATATGTAAAGGGTCACTCGTGGTGCCAAAATGCCTGTAAATGATTACGTTGCAGCCAAACTGTCCAGGGGAAGATAATGTTGCTTTGTGTCTGACGGATGTGTCTGCCATAACCACTTTAGAAGGTCTCTTATGTATATGGTGCTAGTTGCCAGTTTGTCTACTTCTTTTCATGATTTTGCCGTTTGAGGGCCAAAAAATAATCAATGCAGCTTTAACTATTGGTCTCTAAAAGAGGTATTCCACCTTTTCTTTTGAGACGCTATTGAGTTGCATGATGGGAAGACCAACTTTACCTGGACCCATACTAAGGATTAAAAGTCAAGGTATCTCAGCCTCTGATGAATCCGTACCTCGTAAGTCCCCAACCGTAGTAGTACGATACTAAATCGCTGGTGTGTCCCTTTAAGCTAGGCCTCTTAAAAAGGCCTGTACTATAAGTAAACCCTTCCCTTTAGCTCACTTGGTGTTGTTACATTATATAGATAGAGTTCAGTTATTTCAAAAGCCCTTTTAAACATCAACAGGTATCTCTTAGTGATTCATCTCAACAAGCTCTCCAGAGCTTGTCTCCTGTGTGAGAGTCAGTGTCCTCTGTCGGGACAGTCGACGCTGCCCCGGCGTGTCCTGAGTGAAGCGAGGTCTTCCCGCGGCGTCAGCGGGAGCCATTGATCTGTGGGGAACGCGACGCGATAATCATCATCATGTCATAATCTTATAACAGTCTTCCCTCTCGGTGACGCGATCACGGGCTCCTCCGGAGAGAAGTCAGCCTCGTTCCGTTCTTGCGCTTCCTCCTCTTCCTCCTCTTCCTCCTCTTCCTCCCATCCAAAACACGGGCATCGGTGCTGGCATGCAAATTCAATTACAGAAGATATAGAGCTCCACGGGGCACTGAGAGTGCATTCCACTAAATCCCAGTACCTTGGTGGAGTGAGAGTGCATGTGTGTGTGTGTGTGTTTGTGTGTGTGGTGAAAGAGAGAGAGAGAATTAGTCTTCACATAACTGCTGCAAAATGCAGGCGATACAACTACAGAGCCACGGAATAAAAAGAAGGGATAAAAAAATCTTTTGGGATTAGTCCTTGGAATTGACCCCCCCCCCCCCTTCCCTTCCCACTGCTGAAAAGGACTTTCCTCTTGCCAAGTGGCAGCGTGTATCAAGGCCTTCATTTCAGAGTCGCAGCAAATGAGCTGCTATGCTTCTCTGTTCTGTTGCCATGGAGATCACATCTTTCTCTTCTCATGTCTAATCTCGGCCTCTCTTTGAGATATCTTCCATTCGGAAGGCCCGCCTGCTACTGCAGCACTGGCACTGTTTCGCTGCCTTGTCAGCTATTAGGCTTTGCTCGGCGGCGAGGAAATCACTGCCTGCTTCTCTATGGACGGGTGGATTGTTTGATATGAAGTGTTAACAGCTGCAGTAAGGCCGTCTAATACACGTCTATGGCTGCTTTGGCATCTTAAAGCAGCATTCTCTGCAAGCGTCACATGAACATGTAATGTCAGTCTGAAGCACAAAGGGAGGCGTAGGGGTGCACTTGCTTAGTTACATTTGACTGGTAGACTGAACTCATCATAAAAGACCACTTCCTCATGCACTCAACCATCGTGGACTTCACTGACACAGGGGTACGAAGTAGTCGCTGCCAGTTTCTACCAGCCCACCTGTAGTCTGGGCCTCACTTTTAAATGATCTGAATCATGTTAGCGTTGGTAAACAGAAAATCCATTCAAAACAAAATGTCAGTATTCGAGCATTTTGCCGTGTTTGTGTTTGAAGAGTCGCGTTTTCTTTAATGGCAAGAACTTTGCCTTTCATTTGAAGAAATCTGCATTTTTACTCTTCTTGTGATAAAATATAATTTGTGATGGCAGT